CAAATCTATCGTGTATCAACTCATAATTTGTGACACTGTTGAATTTTTCTTCTTGAGAGGAAGAAAATATAGTGTTTATCGCAACTACTTTTTATAGTTAGTTCAGAAAACCTGAAATTTGATTTGTTTAAATGGTATGCTAAAATTTTCTATAATTTATATAATATAGTTACTTTCTTCAGTTGAGTGAATCTTAAGAGAAAAGGGAAAATGAAAAGATGGGAAAGAAAAGAGATAATCAGGATGAAAAATGTGATGGACAAGGAGTTACTTAGCAGGAAAATGAAATACTTCTGTCTCTGAATGAAGAGAAAGAGAACCAATAAGAGGGATACTTGAGGAGTGTGTGTGGAGGAAATAATGATGGGTGGATGCTGGAAAGAGGACAAATGTGAGTATCAATAGTTGTTGTTGTTAAGTGTCATAGAGTCAGTCCTGACTCATAGCAACCCTGGATAGGGTTTCCGAGATGCAGCTGGTGGGTTTGAAACACCGACCTTGTGGTTTGCAGTCCAGTGTTTATCTTATAACGCCACACCAGGAATCTGTAGAAGGAGGGAAAAGGAAAGGAAAGAGCAGGTGGCAGTTTTCCTCAGGCCTCCCAGCACTTCCCCACTAGCCTTTTAGCCATTCCATTCATTGGATCGTCCCATCCCTCCTCCCAGCCATAACCCTGGTCTTCATCCATTAATCCATTGTGATTCCATCTCTTAATCCATTGCAATTCCATGAGAGTTGTTCACAAGCTTATTGTCAGTCTTCCAAGTGCAACTTGGGGTCCTGGTGTGACTCTGTAGGATAAGCACTGGACTACTCACTACAGTGTTGGTGGTTAAAACCTAGTGGCCACTTCTTGGAAACTCTATACAGGATTGCTATGAGTTGGAACTAACTGGACAGCACTTAACATAACAACAAGTACAGCTGGAGTGAGGATTAAATGATATGGTACTTGAATAGCTCTGGAACCACTTAGTTAGGTTCCAATAAAACCAGCGGCTGTGGGGCAGATTCCAACTTATGGTGACTTTATGTGTGTTAGAGTAGAATTGTACATCATAGGGTTTTCAATGGCTGATTTTTCAGAAGTTGGTCACCAGGCCTTTATTCTGAAGTACCTCTAGGGAAATTTGGACATCCAACCTTTTGATTCAGAGGCCAAGCATGGTAACTTTTTACGCTACCTGGGGACACTTAAGTTCCTGTCAGTGGTAAGCTGTTAGGATTGTTGTTGTTGTTAAGTGCCGTCGAGTCGGTTCTGACCCATAGCG